AAAACTATTGTTCATAAACAGATTAAAACATGTTTTTATATTCACAGCCAAACAACTATTTTATGTTTGTTACACGTTCCCAATTATATAGCATAAGCTAAAAAAAAATGGTTCTTGCAGTTTAAATTGCTTTTATTTGGGTTATGGTTTTTACTTGGCTTCTTAAGGGTTAACATTTCCACTTGCTTCTCCTTTTTTGTTAGGAGGGGCTGTGCAGGGTGAGGGGTTAAAGGATTACAACCCTGGCTTCTGCGTTCAAATGTTAATGAAGTTAATGAGAGAAACCCAATCCTCAAATTTCAGTCGTTCATGTTGTTCTGTAAGGACAGATCTCTATGAAGGTGCTCAGGAAAACCTGAAACCAGCCATGCTTCCTGCTGCAACAAAACATCTAAAAGGTAGGACATTATTTTTCGGTAAGCTGTGTGAATAGGAACACATAACAAACATATAGTGAGGTTTTCTCACATGTGAGTGCAAAAGTGGAAACACACTTTAAGGCAGAATGTGGCTTTAGGAAAGATAATAGCTTTAGACCCTCCATCCGTTTAAATAACATTGAAAAGGATGGCTATAAACACAATTAAGCCACCCCATCTGCATTGGTATATCCTGCCCCATCAGACACCAATCACATACAAGCACATCCGCCCTTGTGAAGTGACAGGTCAGTCAGATACTGAATACTGAAAGTAGCTTGCAAAAGAGGAAGAGGAAGCTATCTGACACCAGGTGTTTCGGACAGCATGTCCCTGGAGGCTGTTGGTTCCTCTTACTGACCATTACATTACTACAGACCACAGTAATGATAGTGGGGTCTGTGTCCCCTGTTGGACGCTGTTATTCCCTTCACCGACCCCACTATTTGACATATACAGAGGTGTCAGATAGTAGCAGTGCCAGGAGCTCTGCAAGACAGCAAAGTTTCAACACACCCCCTACCATATGTGAGTATTCATCTTCTTCTTTTTCAAGCTACTTTCAGTTTTATTTAATTGAGGTGACACTAAACTCAGGAGTTAAACCTTGAAATACAATCAAGTACCTTAACTAAAAACAAAAATGTATCTTATTTGTGTATCACTCTGCTGTAGATCCTCAAATCATCTCTGAATTGGTGCTGACACTGTCCTTCCTTCTGCAGGGTGGCTACTTTTGTCCCCCACAGTCCCTCTGTGTGTTGTAAAGTAGCCACTGCTCCAAGCTCACTCCTATGATGGACTACAATCTCACGTTTAGTTCAGATTGTCTATCAGGGGAGCGAGCTTGGAGTGGTGGCTACTTTACAACACACACACAGGGACCATGGGGAACAAAAGTAGCCACCCTGCAGAAGGAAGGACAGTGTGAGCAGCAATTCAGAGATGATTTGGGGATCTACAGCTGAGTGATACACAAATCAGATACATCCTTGTTAATAGTTAGGGTACTTTAATTTATTTTTAAGATTTAACTTCTGAGTTTAGTGTCACTTTAAGGAAGCTACAAGGGTCCCTTTATGATAATTACTGTTTAACAGTAGTACCCTTTGATCCTGCCAGAAGTACCCCTTGGAATACACTTACCAGTGCCACTCAATGTATACTAAGCTGAGCTGAGTGTATTCAGCAGTGGTTGATGCCAGCTTAGAAGAGACACAGCTAGACAGACAATAACAATAACAACAGGTGTATGAGTATTGGGGCTCCATAGCAAAACCATTAAGGGGCCCCCATCACTTTGCTCTCTTACTCAAAGTCAGTCCTTCTAGAGACAGAAAATCTGATCTGCCATCACAGCAGTTTTAGAGAAGCTCCCAAACGAGCTGCAGTGTATCCAAAAGTAATTTCCAAATGCTGTTTCTGCTCGTGTGAATTGCTTTGTAACCAGACAGTGCTGTGCCCCAGAGCAAAAGTTTAGTTTGTTATGGGTATAGTTATGTCCTTGGCACATCAATCCAAATCTTAAAATGAATGGGCAATGTGATAGGTTCTCTTGCTAGATGCCCCCACCAACCCACTGCTATTTTCCTTGTGCTCCCCTACTGCCCTGTATTCCTGCAGGGTTGCTCAGGCTAATCCCTCTACATGTTCTATGTCAGGCAATGTTTGAGCTTATCAAGGCTTAATGACTTTCTCACCTCTCCCACATGACATTGCTAGGGCCTGGCGATTGACCACTCAGGCCCCTAGCACTGCATTCAGCAAAAAGCAGTACATTCAATGGCAGACTGACAAATGGAACAGTGAAGGAGCATGGCCAAGGTGAGGATTAACAGGAGAGAGGTTGGGCTGGCATGAGAATGTGTCAGTTTGCCCTGAATGAGCAAAGGGACAGAATTATTTTCAATATTACAGCACTAACTGCCCTAAAACAATCAGACACAGACATGCATGCTAGTATAAACCACAGAATGGCAGTACTGATAGAAAAATAGTAATATACTAACCCGGACCGCCTCAGCCTTTTTGTGGAACATTTCTTCCATATCCTTTGCAAGTTTTTTTACAAGATGAAGTCCATCGATTTCTTCTATAGAGACTTCTTTCTCAAATTCTTTGTATTTCTAAAAAATAAAACGTGAAATTCATTAATCATCTGTTTGAAATATGCACCAATTTACTTTTATGATGGTCACAAGACAAGTGGTCTAATGGAGCACTGGTCCAAGACTATAAAATGGTTTTGTCTACACAATTTATTTTCAAATAGTCTTGCATGTATTAAGCCATGTATACATGCTTTGAATTTCGAAATTTGATGCGTGGTTGCCACTGTCGGCACCTTTCTGACCAGCATCCCTCAATCAGCTGATTGAAGGAGCATCTCGGACATTTGCCGGCCGAACAGAGCTAGGAAACTGCAGGCGATTCCTCGATCAATGCTCCTTAGAGTTGATGGAGGAATCTGGTTTATGTTCTCCATTTAACCCACAGGTTGTACGAAGAAAATAGAAGTGTGTATACCCGATGTATATACCTTAAAGGAGAACTATGCGGTGAGTGCTTTTCACTCACCTCATAGTTCTAACCGACCTGTGACAAACCACCAGGCTAAGTGAGATCCTCTGTTTAGATTTTGATACATTTTCGAACAAGGATGTGTAATGTGGTGGATAAGGAACTATGGATTTATTTATCAAAACACCTGAGAGAGAAACGATGGATGCTTTTCATATCAACAACAAAGCATTCTTAATTTCAGTTTGGAAACAGTTTTGGAAATGAAAGGAAGAATGTTATTGGCTACAACAACTACTATTTGTAGTTGAAGACAAAAAAAGAAAATTATTTGGTATTGATAGTTACTTAGAAACTGTATACCATGGCATGGACCAATAGGAAAGTGTCTACTCAAACCAACCAAATCCCAACTGTTAAAAGAGTCAAAGAGATGTCTAGCTTGTTGCTTTGAGTAATACAGATGCATTGATTTTGGACACTTTATTGTACCTTTATTAAATCATGTAGCAAGTCACAGATCTTGTCAGTTATAATAAAGTGCAACATATAAATACAGACATGTGTCAGGTTTCCATTGTTGTCTGTGCCCCCATTTTAGAGAGTGATCTCCCTTTCTGTCTTGGTGACCGTTGAAATCTGAAATTTTATAGCTGTCCCCAGAATCTCCTCACAGGTGTCATCCACCTACTGTGGGGAAAATTTCCCAATAAGCATTAACAACCCTCCAAACACACACCTATCTAAAACTAGAAAGAATATTTTGGCTTCAACGTATAAAAATGACAGTTAATTATTTAACAAATGCAGTGATCTGTGTGCTATCAGCAAACTACAGTATACATTGGATAAGCTATAATAAAAATCATAGCACAGTTAGGTCTGGGCATAACAGATACACCAGCAGAAGCAAACAACACACAGCCATGGCAGATCAGAAACCAATAGGTGGAATTGGGCAGAAGAAGTCCTGGCAGCAGAGTAAACATTTGGGTTGGGTGCATTTACAAATGGCAGCTGTTCATGCTAAATGAAAACAATTTTGATTATAGAAGAATTACCAGGGAATCTTTTTCTATCCCAGAGGCTAATCCCTAGCTGCTCTAAAGTAACAATGAATTTATCCAGCCCTTATTTTTACCAACCCTACTTCTCTTTAATTTAATTGATCTGAACTTTGAGAAAAGACACAAATAGGCTTGGAAGCTATTCACTGACAATTGATGGCTTTAGGGAAAGTCAACATTACACTTAAAATAAAATTAAACCTTCCTTTGTTTGTTTGTTGTTTTTTTTTTTTTTGCATATATCCACTGCTAGCAAGCAATAGATATATGCAAAAACATTTTTCTTTTAATTAAAAAAAGTTACCAAATAGGTAAAAACTTCCGCCGCTTGCTCCTGCCCGAAGATCTGAAGATTCTCGAGCGGCCGTGAAGGATCATGGGATGGGCGCATGCGCAGTAGAGATCTTCAGCTGGGAGAAATGTAGAGACACAGGGTAAAGGATGTAACACACTGCACGCAAAGCAGTGCGGAGCGGTGGCACACTGCCTTCACGTGCAGTGTGGCATGTCATTTTCACTTCGGCACGTCAGCTTGCTAGAGCTCGCATAGCTGATCGTGCCGAGAAGAAAAATGTAATCTTCAGCCAATCGGCTTGCGTGTATAAACCCACGCGTCACAATACAAAGTCCATTCGGTTGTTACCTGTGAGCCGATTGGCTGAAGATGCATTTATTCATCTGGCCGTCCTCAGCTCACACACTGCATGCGAACCTCCATGTCTGACAGCTCTGCTTTACTCTGCACGGCTTTGCATGCAGTGTGTCACGGGCTTAAGTCAATGTACGCAGCCGGCAGCGTGCACGCGGACAGACATAATGGGACCTAGGAGTCTGCGCTGGATCAGAGACCAGCACCAGCGCTGAAAGGGGTTCCTGAAAACTACTGGAAATAAGAAGATGATCGGATCAAGAGACTGTCAGATTTAGAAGAGAAAATGAATGTTTTTATATAGTAAACCTGCACTATATATATTATTTTAAATGTTGATATCAATGAAAGAAACTTTAAAAGGGTCAGATTCAGAGAAGGAAATGTATCTCTTTTATTTCTTTTTTTTAATAATATACCTACACAATCTTAATAATTAAAGACTGAATATTATTATTATTTTACATAATCCCAACTGTGAATGGTTCCATTTAAATAAACATATTTAAATCATCCCCAATTATTAAAGCTAGTAGACTAATGGCTATGGTCTATGAAAAGGGAAAGGTTTGTTGGATGAGCCTCAGTTTGTTCAAGTAGAATCCTCTTGTTAAAGACAATAGATGACAGGAGCCAAATATTAATGAACAAACACAATGACTCATCACCTAGTTGTACAGTAAGGTGAAAAGGAACCGACAGCAACGGAATGAGACCAGACAACTATTTTCATATATAGAAACAAGGCTAAATTCACTGAACACTGATATCTGAATCATCCATGAAGCTCAGCAACTCAGCAATTCTGAAAGTGTCAATTTGCAGCTGAGCAATGTATTCAGTTACTAACAGCATATGGAATTCTGTAGAAAGAGTGGGACATCTTGTGACACTTCTTACATTGTGGTGCACTGCATTGTGCTGTAATGCAGCTGTGTTTTATACATGTGTTGGGGTATCATTCAAAATAACTGGAACAGCAATTCACTAAAATGTGCATGATGCGCTACACATGCCACGCACATGTAAGTGGAACACTGTAGTGTGTACAAACTCTAATGGGGAAGAAGTATTGCCTATAGAGTGCCTAAGAAAAAACAAGAAAACAGCTTTCAATTTTATTTACCACCAGATAACTACCGAACATATCAGATTTTGGTGAACCTAGCATTCCAAGAAAACCTGTCCAGGCAGCTAGCTAACAACACCACAATGGCAGGAAACCATTAAAAGCATCTTAACTAATCTTCAATGTGAACCTGTGTTTGCCCATACCTGGCAAAGTAACGGTATAGCTTTTCAGGAAGGTCGAAAGGAGTCAGTATTTGCCTTGCAGTTTGTAGTGACCATTCATGGTGCCTTATCAGGTTCAGTTTAAACTATGTCCAGTGCTTCTGGGGGAAAGGGTCTATCCTGTGTATATATATATTATATATTTATATATATGGCGAAAACATGGAACAGTGGTGAACCTTCCCAGGAGTGTGCAGCTAACCAAAATTAACACAAGAGCGCAGCGACGACTCATCCAAGAGGTCACAAAAGACCCCACAACAACATCCAAAGAACTGCAGGCTTCACTTGCCTCAGTTAAGGTCAGTGTTCATGACTCCACCATAAGAAAGAGACTGGACAAAAATGGCCTGCATGGCAGAGTTCCAAGAAGAAAACCGCTGCTGAACAAAAAGAACATAAAAGCTTGTCTCCGTTATGCCAGAAAACATCTTGATTATCCCCAAGACTTTTGGGAAAATACTCTGTGGACTGACGAGACAAAAGTTGAACTTTTTGGAAGGTGTGTGTCCCATAACATCTGGCATAAGAGGAACACCGCATTTCAGAAAAAGAACATCATACCAACAGTAAAATATGGTGGTGGTAGTGTGATGGTCTGGGGCTGTTTTGCTGCTTCAGGACCTGGAAGACTTGCTGTGATAAATGGAACCATGAATTCTGCTGCCTACCAAAAAAACCTGAAGGATAATGTGCGGCCATCTGTTCGTGACCTCAAGCTGAAGCGAACTTGGGTTCTGCAGCAGGACAATGATCCAAAACACACCAGCAAGTCCACCTCTGAATGGCTAAAGAAAAACAAAATGAAGACTTTGGAGTGGCCTAGTCAAAGTCCTGACCTGAATCCTATTGAGATGCTGTGGCATGACCTTAAAAAGGTGGTTCATGCTCGAAAACCTTCCAATGTGGCTGAATTACAACAATTCTGAAAAGAATTCCTGCACAGCACTGTAACAGACTCATTGCAAGTTATCGCAAACGCTTGATTGCAGTTCTTGCTGCTGAGAGTGGTCCAACCAGTTATTAGGTTTAGGGAGCAAACACTTTTTCACACAGGGACTATATATCTATAGAGAAAGAGAGAGACAACTCCTGATGCAACTTTGGGTAATGTCCTAACCTTTTTTTTAGATAAGCCCTGCTGCCAACATGCCACCAGTCCAGTACAAGAATCTATATTGGCCAAATAAGTATGGCAATGGACTATAATATGGTAGGACCACAACTAACTTCAAGTCAAAGGGGGTGATTTACTAACCTAAACACACACACACACCAGGTGTGTGTGATTTTCACACAGCAAAACGTATTTATCAACCAAAAAGTCTCTAAAAGCATATTTCCACTAATGCCATATATGTAAAAATCATGCACATGATGCATATATAATGCTGCTTCACAGTTTAGACAAAAATGGTTAGCTCATGCATTTACATTCCTTGCATTCATCAACGCAAGCAACACAACATAGAGCTAATTTACCCAACATCACCTTGGAATTCCTTCAGGGCTTTGCACAACACACCTGCTGGGTGTGTACACATTACAAAGGTGTTTAGATTCCACCCATAGATCATGCTGGGAGGGAACACACTGC